ACTTTCTTATGCTAATATTTGGAGACTAATAAAGGACTGCAGAAAGGAGCAAAATGAAAAATCCTGAAATTACTGTGGGAAGGGTACTGGTCTTTCTGTCCCTTTTCTACCTTACTGTTTCTCATATTCAGAGAGAGTAGATAGCAGTCTGAATTTTCCCCCGGGTTTCTCTTTTCCCCTCTCCTTCCCTCTGTCCTGTGCTGGCGTGCAGAGGTCTGGATCAGACTGTACGTTTGCTGCTAGGGGAGACATGTGTACACTCAACAAATGCACAACCCTTGCTGCTCCAGACTCAGAGAAAACCAGCACAACATGAGGAATCTGCCCCCGAACGCTTTGGGAAAGGACACAACACACATATACCACACACACGAATCACACACCTCAATTTATTTACCACATCACATCAGTGTTCCCTCGATAAGCTGCGACAGAAAAACTCCCACCTAATTCACACTGTAACCTTCAAAACACAGACAAGGAATCAGTAAATGTAAATAAATATTTCTGCAATGGGTTACACAGAATTTTCTAAGGAAAATCTGTCTCTTTTCAAACATCAACAGCTTTAACTTGGTAACTATTTTTTTTCTAAGATAAAATCCATATAAAACTAGACAAAGACGCTGTCGAAATGTTCAATATCTTAATTGTTTTCAACGACAAGCTCAAACTACTCAATACAAAAGTAGCATGAGCTGTAAAACAGACTGCTGATGTATACATTGGTAGAAAACAATGGCAACGTCTTTAATTATTTAGACAGAGAATGTTCTAAGAATATGTTCAGCACACTCTCAGACGCGTTATCTTTTTTCATAATTGTAAAAAATATATACTTGTTTCTTCACTTTCAAATTGACTGAAACTACTTTTTAATATGTTTTATCATTTAAAATTGGATAACATTGATTCTAAGAACTCAATAAGTCATTAAAAAAACTTAAATAATATGTAATACTAACAATGTCAGCTCAGACTAACAGATAACAAATATGGGGCCTTAAAAAGGCTTCCCAGGTCTGCTTACTTACAACAATAAGACAAATCTCCCTGAGAGTGAGTGTTAGGTCTGCTACATCTTATTAAATCAGAAATAAAAATACGAAAACCTTCTTGTCTGCAAAAGTTTAAATGACTTGTCAGAAAAGTATTCGCTGAGAAAGAAAGTTGCTGTATTCCAACTAAACTACATCAAATCAGTTCCAATTCGGTGTCTGGATCCCTATAAGTTCTCCTTTTGAAGTTATTTTTGGTTGAGTGAGAAATAAACAGAGGCAGGGTTTTAGCTCCAAAGTGCTGCAGCTCGAACCTCAAACTGTCATGAAATGTAATTTCATTCAAAGTTGACCAACAGTAAAAAAGGCAGAGGTGGAAATGTGAGTGGAGTACTTGACACAAATAGTTTTAAAACATATTTTTTAAAGTAAAATACATCAATTACAACCAAGTCCTTGTTTGTTAGCAGGATAACATTAAAAAACATGAAACAGCGCATGTCCTGAGTAGAAACTGTTAGGGTGAACGTCTGGGCACTCTCAGGGAGCCGAACAAAGGGATGGTTAGGATGAGAGAAAGGTGATGGCTTTGTGGTAAAAGACCTTGATTTTACTGCTGCAGAAACATTGTGGTTGATATTGAAAAAAAAGAAAGATTTCAGCATCTTGGTTAAAGGTTGAGCAACAGTTCAGGTCGTAGTCAAAGAAACCAACATTTAGCAAACAGAAACCAAGTATCAAACTTCTGCGCCCATATCTCTAATTTTGAGGACTCAAACAAACCTGATCTCTTGACATACGTACAGCTTTGACATGTCAAATTGCTTTTGGCAACTGTTGGCTGGAAGTCAAAGAAGGAAAAAACTGTTGTGCATCAGTTCAGCAAGTTAAAATTCGATTGGTTATCCCGAAAAAATCTGAAACAAACAACTCTGTTTTCTGCTAAAACAAGTTTACAAATCCCAGAAGAGGAGGATTTTATAAGAAGCAACAGTAGAAAGAGGGAGGGAGGGTAGGTCAACACCACACTGCCAAAATAGCTTGTTGTTGAGTGACTAAGCCTTGAACTTGGGAAAGAGATTTAGCTTCCCTTTTGGCTATTACGTCTTTAAAAAAGTAAAACTGCCCATTTTCGAAACCACAATAACCCGATAGGCAACTAAAGCAACTGCCCTGCCCGAGTGGTAGTCAAAGGCTGGTTAGCATTTTATTTGTACTTCAGATAGGAAATGTGAGTCAAAGTGACAGTGACTAGTGTTTCACAATGGGATGTGGGCTTTATCTATTGGCACGCACACACACACACACACACACACACACAGACCTGCTGCCCCACCACATGCACAAACCACCTGCACACAACCCACCGTTTGAAATAACGGCCAAAAACAAACGCACAATGTTTCTAGCACGAGACGGTCAATTTGTTCCAGCGGGTCATCTCTAACCCTCTAAAACCAACAAGGGTGCATTTAAACTTTTGTTTTCCCATTTTTCAGTACTTTTAATTTGATAACTGATGTGTTATTAATTCTCTAACCACCAGAGAGAACTACGGACTCAATCAATGCTTAGAGCTGGCTTCCTTCCATTTAGCATCAGTGCAAACAGGAGCGGTAGCGATGAGGCTCCTCTAAAGCGTGCATGTGTCATAGATAGAGCTGACCTCCCCGTGGACAGGCCTGGACATGCAGGCAGCTGCTGTCAGCACGCCAGCGAGGGGGTGAATTAATAGAAACAGCAGCTCTCTGGGGACACTGTTAGCCCACACTGACAGCCCGTTCTGATCTGGGGTCATCTTAATGCACTGCCTCTTCCCCTCTGCATTAGTGGTGGGAAATACGAAACCTGGACCATGGCAAACATTATTTAACTTTCCGGGTAGGCTTAGCTCTAGATGCCGGCCCAGGCCTGTGCGAGGCGTGATATGCACACTTGTAGCAATCAAGAATGTGGGAGCGCCCTGTTAGGGGCTTTAATTTTCATCTGTCACAGAATTCAAACAGCCCACCCAAGCAAGGGAGATTTTTCTGTGACACGAGCAAGAGTTCGCATGCTTGTTCATCTATGTGTGGCCCTGTGACAGACTGAGGACCAGCCTCTTGCCCAGTGACAGCTGGGTCAGGCTCAAGCCCCCCCACCAAGTCAAGTGGGTTTAGAAAATAGATGGACGGACAAAAAGAAGCTAATTTAATCTGAGTTGCACCTGATTGAAACCACTGAATGTGCAATTTTCTGAAAATGTTTGGTGGTGATCAGCTGACTCTTAACACTTTTGACTGTTTTGTTGTTATTCAGAGGTACAGGAATTATGCTTTTATTATAAAAGCCTACTCTGAAATGTATTTTTCAATTAATCAAGTTTTTGCTTTTTCCAAATGTCACAAATATTTTTTAAATGACATTAGCAATTACCATAGCCTATTAAATCATTTGTAGTCATTTTAAGTGTTTCCGAATGTCTGTTTTGGCTTGTCCTGCAGGTAGACCAACAGAAAATATCACGGCAATCTATTGCTTTCAAACTTTCAATACCTTTAGCACCATATGTAAGCAGAGCTGTCCTTAAATATGATGAAGCCTCCATCAGGTATTGAAGGCAGAACCTACTTTTCATCACTGGCTTCATTTAGTTTCCTGATGAAAATCAAATGCTCTGTTTTGTGAATCTATGCACAGAGCATTGCTGCAAATTGTTAGAAATAGTCCAGACATAGTTTTCTCACAAAAGCGGTGGTGTCCTCCACCTGTAGAGCCCTGCTCGGTTCAGTGTGCAGCATGTGGGGAGCAGTGAAACCAACCCTCCAGTTGGCCTTAAGGTCCATGGTGCTTTTATCATTCCCCACATCCATGTTTGGAAACGTTTCTTAATGATAAATGTATCAGTCTCATATTCCGATAAGGTATGTTGACAGAATTAAAAACAACCTTTGGAATAAAGAGGTTTTTGTTGTGGTGGACAAAATGACAACAGATTATTTGGTGAACCTTAATTCCTGGTCTGAAAACTAATAAAAAGAAGAAAGATTTTTCTCATTTTACTTAAGTTTAAGGTACTGATCTAAAGTCGTCGTCTGACTGTGTCCATAATATATACTTTGATCAAATTTCATTTCACTATATGAAAGCCCTTTTGATGCCAAAATACCCAAATAACTCTTACCATTTTATGAAAAATTATCCTATTTATGAAAAATATATATATTTATTTGCATTTTTAATTCTGGAAAATAATTTCAGAGGTGCCCAGAACAACACTGGTGACAGGTCCAGCCTTTACTCAGGTTATAAACCAGAAACATTGAAAGCTTTTTGCAGGACTTGGATTTTAAATGCCTTTTTTCCTGCTCTAACTCTTGTGCTGATAGATAAATAGCTGTATGGAGGCGCTGAAAGAAGAGACGAGAGCCCTGCTCCACGGATTCGCCTACGCACTACCAACGATAGAAAGCGTCCCAGATTAAGGCCAAGTTATATAACTTGGACTACATTACCGCTTTTGCACTGCATGCATACTGTATGCTAGTCGTTGCACTAGCCGTTACCCTGTTTTCGACGGCGTTATTTCGCTCAGAGGAAACAACTTAAGTTTGTTCCTATTCGGGTAAAGTACAGTGTGATGGTGCATCTGAAGGCAGCGTGACACTAGCTAACCAACAAGATGTTTCAGCCACGATTTGCTAGCTGTGCCTCCAGACATCTGCTCGCCCGTTGAGCGCTGCCTTCGCGACCATGTTGAGTTATAATTAACGTAAAGGAAATCAGAGTTTGAAATATCGACGCTAGGCAGGAACGGGAAATGTCAACTCCACAGCCGAGTAAAGATGCCTTAAGGTGCAACAGATAGCAAAGACAGCGGAGGACCGAGTTGAGGGTTTTTTTTTCTGTAACAACGCTGTAACTGAACGTTACGTTTAAAAAATTCGACTGAAGTAAACACAACATTTAAGCTAGCGAGAAAAACTGATTTAACGGCCAACGCAAACCGCCGTCCAACGGTCCTTACCGTGGAATAGTGATGCATTTTGTGTTGATATTCTGGGTGGTGATGGCTTTTTCTAGTTCGTCCAGCTGCCCCGTCTTCTTCAACTTCTTCACCAGACTTTTCACCGCCTTTTCACACCATTTCTCCTCCTGGCCGTTCTGCTCGCCCTTCTTCCAGCCCAAAAGTCTTTTGACAATGGGGGGAGTGAAAGGCAAAATTGACATCTTGAGTTCAGTCAAGTGCGTCCAGTTTCGACAAGTCCGTTTGTTGGGACTCAAACACCGAAACAACTGCCCCTGTGACGGTCCGAAAAAGCCTAAAGAAATCGATACTTAGTGAAAGGCTGTTTGTTGTTGTTGTTTTTAAATACCACGCTGGAGCATCTCGAGGTCAAACACTCCAGTTTTAGCGCACTCCGTCGGCCTGAGTCGAGCTAAGCGGGGGACTGTGCACCGGTAGTGTGCGGTGCCGTGCCCGTGTGACTCCTCCGCCAGAAAACCTAGTCCCGTCTGGACTTACTCAAACCGGGGCTATTTGGACATTCCTAAACTGAGTAATTCCCAAACTACGCCTATAACTACGCCTGCTTCGAAGAGCGAGTAGTCGCGTCGGTGCTTTGCTGTCGGTATTATTCTAACTGTAGGTCTGCAAAGTTTTGTGAAGTTCAGAATCCTCCGCGGTGTCGTGGTCCGCCGACTGAAGTCTGCATCAAATGCAAATGCTGAGAAACTCCATTCAGGCTCCGGACTGCCCAGCAGACCCACGGCTGCTCAGTCCGAGCAGCTGGCCAAAGGGGGCCGTGCTCATTGCTATTGCACAAGCCCAGATTTTCCCCCATTTAACTAATACACTTTCGAGTCGCTGTTCCTAAATGAGCTGTCACAATTACATAAATCGCATGACTTGGTTATGTAACACTTACCACTCAGAATCTTTAAGTACACAGTTATAAGGTGTTCATTGATTTATTAAGCATGTTTGAAGTATATATATATAGTATAAAGTATAGATGGGATGTCAACGACACTTGGGCTCTGTTTGACCCGTGGAAATGTAGTTGTTTTTTGTATATTTGCTTTTACTTTGTGAGTCACTTTTAGTTTAAATATGTAACATGATTATAGTCCACATACTGCTATAATGTTCTTGTTTCTCTCCAGATTGCCATACGGTTTACATTTTCTGATTTAAGAGGAAAACATAGTCATTGTTTGTGTCTTATTTTTTAGGAACCAACGTATACTTCTTTGACTCCCTGACAATCTCATAACCACTGCTGCATAAGAATACACCACTGTGTGTGTTGGTTTTTGTAAATACTCCAAATCTGGACATCTCCAGTGCCAAACTTTCCAATCATTTCTCCGGGGTTGTTTGTATACCCCTGAGTGAATCACTTCAGAGCTGCTGGAAGATGGAGGCTGATGGGAATCGCTGCATGCGTGCAGAAGGTGATCCACTTGTCTGAGCTTGTTGGGGCTGCAAACACACAAATTCAGTCTAGTTTTTGGCTCAGATGAGCACCAATGATATGCAGACACATGCAGGTGCTCACTTATACGTATGTGTGCCCACTCCTTCACACACTGACACGTGTTAGGTACCAGACGTGGTGTGCACCAGTGCTGGGCTCACCACAGAGAAAGTAATAGTAGGATGGTTCAGGGTGTGAGGCGGCTTTTGTTCCTCGGTCTTCAAAAGAAAGACTTTATTACGTTCAGAGCACTTTCCAAATGTGGGTGTCTTATTAGCAAGCTCTTGAAAGAAAGTGTTGTAAACCGAGGGAATGCCCAGCACAAAGAAACCGACGCACTCCAGGTTTTCCATTGTAGTTATGGCTCTGAAATTACTCACAAAAGAAGAATAACTTTCACAGTCAAATTACCAGTAGTCAGCAGATATCTGGGTGGTGACCGCATGAAAATACTCCGCCTGTGCCCCCACTGACAGCTCATAGTCATATTAGAGGCGTAGCATTCACTTGTGGTTACCATTTTGGTATGTGTGTACAGGGGGCTTTGACCTGTGTCCAGCTGCCCTGCAAACATTACACAGTGTGTGCTAAAAATACCCCTGGTTTAGGCTCAGCTGGACAAATGACTCTCCTTTCATCTATTTTTGTTCCACAGCAATGTATATTTTAAAATCTACAAAAGGCATGCCGGGGCTCTCTCTTCGTGGGTACAGTTGAATGAGCTTAAGAATACAATCAAAATCATTTTCATCCATTTTTGCAAATTCCAAAACACAACTTTTACGTACGAGTTCCACCACAAACATTAGAGTGAATGAATGCGAGGACGTTTAACTGCCGTGGTTTTTTTCTAATATAAATGACCGACAGTTCATTGTCTGCAGTAATGACCCGGCCTCCAGCTGTAAAACCCTCCGGCCGCTCCCTCTCCGGCTGCTGCCGGCCGGAGGAGCGTGCGGCCATGTGTCACATGTGCCGAGGCCCCCCGGCACCTGTTCACGCCCCCGGGGACCCGGCCGGCCAAGACAGCTGGTTTGTTTTGGAGGAGAGCGGAGCGAGACAGGGCCATAGGGGTGCAGGGTGGGGGAAGGGAGTACAGATGGGCCGTAGCAGACAGGGGGTGGGGGGGTGG